AAATGGCCTCGATTTTTGCCAGATCGACGCTGATTCCATCTTTTGAAACTTGGTATCCTAAGAATTTTCCTGACCCAACACAGAAAGTACATTTCTTAGGGTTTAGCTTCATGTTCATCTTGCATAAGATCGTGAGGATATCTCGCATATTTGCAGCTACTTGCTCGTCTTTGTTTGTCTTTATCACCATGTCATCCACGTAAATCTCGATGTTCTGGCCAATCTGGTAAGTTGCGCCTGCGTTTTTTAGTCCAAAGGGCATCTTGTTGGCAATAAACCCCGATCTCGGTGATATAAGCTGTCTTCTCCGCATCTTCTCGTGCCATGAGGATATGATGATATCCCTTGTACGCGTCGAGAAAATTGAGGGTTCTGTACCTGGCGATACCCTCCACCATCTGATCTATGACTGGTAGGGGGTAACGGTCTTTGGGGCAATGCTTGTTGAGCTCAGTGAAATCTTGGCACATGGGCCAAGAATTATCGGGTTTTCACACCAAGATAGGGTTGGCTAACCAAGTGGGCCATAGAACTTCTCGGAGTATGTTGGCACAAACTAGCTTCATCGTTTCTTCGTTGATGATGTCATTGCATTCACGAGCAAATACCCTTTTCTTCTGCTGCACCGGTTTGACGTTTGGGTTGACATTTAGCTTATGTTCCATAACTTCTCGAGAAACTCCTGTCATGTCCGCCGGAGACCAAGGGAATATATCGCGGAATTCCCGTAGCAAGGCACTAACCTCAGCTAGCAATGGGTCGCAAAGAGAAACGCCAATTTGAACGGTCTTGGCGGGGTCAGTCTCGCTCAGGATCAACTCTCGTGTCTTACTGCTGAGCGCTGGGAGATTGGAGGTCTTGGGGTCCTCCATCTGTGGTGATATGGATGTTTGTCGGATTGAGTAACACTCTGACGCGGCAGCACTCGGATTAAAGTGTGCGGTCTTTTTTCCGATTCTGACTGCTGTGAGCAAGCATTCTCGAGAGCTACACTGGCCTCCTTGTACCACTCCAACTCCGTATTCTGTCAGAAATTTCATTACTAGGTGATAGGGAGACCAGACTGCACGTGCTTAGCACATCCAGGGTCGTTCCAGAATCACGTTGAACGGCGAGGGCGCATCTATCAGAGCGAAGTTCATGGTTAAAGTGACCGTCCTAGGATGCAACCCTACCGAGATGGGGAGGTTAATTATTCCTATTGGAATAATGGTGTGGCCCGAGAATCCCATCAAGGGCATTGTGGCTGGGCGGATGCTAGGGTTCTTGATGTTCATCTTCTTGAAGCAATTGCTATATATGATGTCAACGGTGCTGCCATTATCCACATAAACCCTTCCGACTTTTATATTTGCGATTATTGCCTCAATAACCATGGCGTCGCTGTGCGGACAAATATCTAGGACTACATTGCTATCTGTGAATACGATGGCCTCCGTCCCCTTGAACCTCTTGTGGCTAGGCTCCTGTCGAGGAGTCTTGCTGACGGTCCGCAACGAGTTTTTCATGGCCGTGGTGGATAAGACTTCGAGGGGAGCTCCGTAAATAGCCCCTACCTGGTGAGTGATCTGCTTCATCGGATCCGCTGGGGGGAGTTGCTGGAGTGGCTGCGGTGTTGCTTCAGTAATTTGGTGAGGTTGTTGTTGGGTATTGGCTCTCGGTTGCCACCTGTTCCCCCGGCCATCTCCCCGTGGTGGGCCTTTGAAGTTTCTTTTAGGGTAATTTTGTGATTGGGGTTTGTTATTCTTCTACCGAGAGGCTCCTTGTACGTACTGCTGAAACTTGCCAGACTTAACCCCGTTCTCGATTTCTCTCTTAAGTTCTCGACAATCCTCCGTGTCATGACCGTGATCCTTGTGATATTCACAATATTGTTCTGTGGACCTATTTGGATTAGCTGCCAAAGGTTTCGGGACTGGTAATTCATCCTTATGGATCTGGAGGATTTCTCGTCACGGCTTGGTTAGGGGTGTTAATTGTCTATCCATCTTGGGCAGCGCTGGTTTGTTCTCCATGGAAACTTTTGATTTGTCTCTTAGTCCTACCGATGTAAAAGATTCCTGGGATCTTTTGAGTGTGTGCTCTCGTTGTATGTGGTTCTCGAGAATGGCCCACAACTCCTGAGCATTCTTGGGGGGCTTAGTCGAGAGTTTGACTCGCTACATTGAGGACTTTCCAAAGGGGTTGATGCCTTGAATGAATCCATTGCGAACATCTCGATCATCAATGTTGTCAACCTACAAGGTTTCTTGTATGAACCGTCTATGGTTAAGTCTATGAGACTCTCATGTTGCCCTTGTCTGATTGAGGAGAGGTCAATGGACATTCTCGATATTCGTTTGCTCTGAAAGAATCGGGTAGCTAGTTTGACGGACAAATCCTCAAAGCTAATTATACTCCCTTCTGGTAATTGCCTAAACCATCGCTGTGGTGACCCCGCCAAGTAGGAAGGTAGCGCTTTGGCCATGAAATTCATAGTTGCGTTTCGAATTCTCATAACCTGGACATATCATTGCAGCCATTGGCAGACATCGGTGTCTCCTGAATACGGTTTAAATTCCTTAGGGAAGTCAAAGTCTCGGGGGCTTAGGTTCATCTCGAATGTCAGGGATGAAGGGACTTCAATCTAACCCTATCCCGATGATCTTCCTCATTTCTTCTCGGATCAAGACGTTCTGATCTCTTGCTCCCTGTTGATCTCCATGGAGGTATGGCAGATTTTCTCTATGCCTGTTGTATTGCTGATACTTGGGAGGTGAGTACTGAGGACGGTGATGGTATCCTCGGTTATACTTTCCCTCGATGTTGTTGTAACCTTGATGTGGTTCGTGGCCAGGTTTATATTCATCTCTTCAAGGACTTTTTCGGTTCCAATTAGGCCCCAGGCGGTCGTGCACGTTAGTTCGCCTTGGAGGATTTCATTCTCCTTCTTCAATGACCTCGATACGCGGGGAACCGTGATACTCTCGAGCGTTTTTACATCGGTATGTCGCGTAAAATTCTTTGAGGGCCGTTTCGAATGCTGGGCATTTTTCTCTGAAAGCGTTCCAGAACACGGTGTCCCGAGAGGCGATTGAGTGATCTTCATGGAGGTCTTCATAACCCTCGACTTCTTGGTAATCCTCGTTTTCTTGGACCTTCCACTTCCCTCGCTTCTTCTTGAGAAGGGCTAGGGTTCTACGAGCTTCTTTTTCGTTAATCAAATCACCCAACTCCTGTTCTGTGGGATCAGGCTTTCCAAGGAGACACCGCCGCCTGGTTTCTTCGAGGACGTATTTTTGCAGCCTCTGTTGTTGATCGCTATCATCTCTTAGTTTCTTGAATTCAGCCTCGATCTTGGCTAGTTTATGATCCTCCAAACGCTTTTTGATAGCAGGGGTATTTCGAGGAGAAGGTATATTCTCCTTTTCGGGTGGATGATTGGCCTTGTCTTGCTTCTCCAGGTCTGGCTGGGAAGAACCAAGGACCAGGTGCTCTTTTGTTGGTTCTTTTTCAGGTTCACCGCCCTTGCTCTTTCCTGCTTTCTTTCTTTCTTGTATACGTTTGAATTCTGCCAGGGTGGTGTGGTCTCCCGGACTATGTCGTTGGCCGGAAGATGCGGTGCTATTGGTGTCTTCTTCTACTCTGACCATTGTGCTGGTTGTTCCCACAACCCTAGTTTTTACTGGAAGATGTTAAAAAAAAACCTGGGAAGGTTTTTGTGACACAAACCCTCGTTTTCGGGTCCCACTGGGTGTGCCACTTGACGAAACGTGGATTTGCGACGCCGGTCTAACAGTGGAACTCCGGCTAGGGTTTCCTGCAAAACAAAGCCTCGGGAGTCTCCCGAGGGTAGACACTCCGATGCTTAAGTCAATGAATGGTTATCGGAACAATTAAGTGTATAGTTTGTTAAGGTATATTTGCGTACCTGTACTGAGATGTGATCGACCCTATTTATAGGCATGAGAATCCCCGGGAAGTCTCCAAATCCTTTTAGGTTTATACAACTTAAACCGCCTTAAGAGAGTCAATTGGACTTCTTTCCCGGTTAATGGGTCGGTCCAGTCTCGGTGATGAATATGGACTCGTCAGATATCAACATATTTCTCCTGAATCCATACAGCTTTCAGTTGAAATTGCTTCCTCCATTCCAAAATAAAAATTAATATAGTTTACATTCAACAAACACGACTCTTATTTTGGTTGGAAAGATTTATTATTCTTAATTACTATGATATGGTTTTGAATCAATGAAAACATGATTTGATTCATGTCCATACTCATGATTAACAGAAATCCAAACTGAAATTCCCAAGGTACGTACTCTTTTCGAAACCTTGTTTCGTCTCTTTTTGAAAAATGTATCGTGCTCATGATTATTGATTAGCCAAGAAAATGGACATTAAGAATTTCAACTAACTTTGGAGAAATAGATTTAGAAAAAGAAACCCTTGCGAGTGAGATTAGACTTTGGGTTTGAAGTGCAAGTGATTAATAAACAAGGCATCAAGGATCATTTGACCTCACACAACTTACATCTCAAGTGATAACCTTTTTTTTTTCCAATTCCCTTTTTTTATTAGTCTTTTGGAAACTAAAATTTAACAAGTCAAACACACTTTGGGTTGAGTGGTTTGGTTTGTCACTAACTAGAATTCATTTGTGCGATTTAGAATGCAATTTAGACTTTATAGTTCATATATACTATAATATATAATCTGTAATTATTGGATGAGGGTAAACAATAATTCGTTGACGTGGAACTCTGTTTCCTTTTTTACTTTTTTTTTCTTTTCATTTTTTTTTAAATAACATTGAACTCTTCTTAATTGGAAGAAATTGACAGCTTGCCAAGATGAGTTTGGAAGTCAACCTATTTATCACTTATCAGTACCCCATTGAGCCAATAATTGAAGTTTTCATAATTCATAAACTCGAAGACTAAACTCTATCAAGCACTATAATAATTACCAATAAAAGAAAAATGCCTGATTGGTTTCATTTGGAAGAATTGGAAACCCAATTTAGTAAACACACAGATAATATTGTCCATCAGGTCAGACAATTCCATCCATGGCAATTAGGATACTTAAGCTCGCCTGTTGGTGGTTTTGTATCTGCTTCCCATGGCTAACAATATCAGCAGCCCAAACCAACACCACCGCCGCCAGCGCAACTAAGAACATCATAAAAGGGCCAAATATCACCAAACCAGGATGCCAACGTCAATGTGGGAACGTCACAGTTCCGTACCCTTTCGGGATCGGCCTGAATTCGGGTTGCGCAATCGGGGAATGGTTTGATGTCAGCTGCAACACTTCTTTCAGCCCACCAAAGCCTTTCATAGGTCAGATTGAGATATACGACATAGATGACAATCATCTTCGTGTAGCCAACTACATCGCAGGTCAATGTTACAATCATAAGGGAGTAGTCGGTGGTCTAAACCAGGTGTGGATGAATTTAATCGGAGCTCCTCCATACAGCTTTTCAGAACTCAACACTTTAACTGTCGTCGGCTGCAATGATTTTGCTCTCATTTATGGTCGCGTAAACAGGAATTTCACCAGTGGATGCACGAGCCTCTGCTATAGAGCAGAGGATGTCGTGGGCGGAAACTGTTCGGGTGTTGGTTGTTGCCAAACATCCAATATTCCCCGAGGCTTTAAGCAGTATCTAATCGGCCTGAACAGCTTGGACAACCATACGCAAGTTTTCGGGTTTGATCCTTGTAGCTACGCTTTTCTTGGTGAGCGTGGCAAGTTCACATTCCAAGGTGCATCTGATTTCTCTGATCCTACTTTTGTGGATAGAACACGAGCCAGTGTTCCTGTTGTGCTCGACTGGGTAGTTGGAAATTTGAGTTGCTCGGAAGCTCAGAAAGCGAATGATTACGCGTGCCATCCCAGCAGCTTATGCGTTGATTCAGGCACCGAGTTTGTTGGCTATCGTTGTAGCTGTGCACAAGGTTATGAGGGGAATCCATACCTCAGTCCAGGCTGCCAAGGTTGGTCAACTAAAATTCAATTAATTTCTGATTTATGTAGTCTTCGAACGTAAAAGTTTCATCAGCTTTAGAGATTAAAGTTTTCAAATAATGAAGTACTTTCTCAAGCGCACAAATTAACACTTAACTTAGTTCAAATTTGTACCTTGTCATTAGGACCAGAGGGAGTATTTGATTTAGTTAGAGATCTAAGCTAAGTTACTTCAGTGTTTTGCTTTTGACATTTTCGACTTTTGACTTGGTGGTTTGTCAGATGTTGATGAATGTGCGGATCCTAATACAAATGTATGTGAAAAGATCTGTATCAACACTCCAGGAGGATATAGTTGTTCTTGTCCGGAAGGATATATTGGAGATGGCAGAAAAGATGGTCGCGGTTGCACAGTTAAGAACAAAAAGTTTCCAGTCATCAAGCTTTCTCTGGGTTTGTTTTCTTGTCATCTTCTTCACTCCCCTCTTCTTTTCTTGAAAGATTTGTCTTGTCTTGTTGTGACTTAGTTGCGGTTCTGTGAATAACAAAAAGTATATCATGGTAACGGAAATTACAAAATTTCAAGTAGTACTAATATAGATGTCTCAAAACGTTTTCTTTTGTAGGATTGGGTTTCGGACTTACATCGTTGTTAGCGGCAATAACTTGGCTATATCTTGGTATAAGGAAAAGAAAAATTTTTAAACTTAGGGAAAATTTCTTCCACAAAAATGGTGGTTTGTTGTTAAGACAACAAGTATCTTCCAATGAAGGTGGAAAGGAAACAACCAAGATTTTCACGGCGGAAGAACTAGAGAAAGCCACTAACAACTATGCAAATGACATGATTCTTGGTAAAGGAGGCTTTGGTATAGTTTACAAAGGGATTTTACCCGATAAAAGAATTGTGGCTATCAAGAAATCCAAAGTTATGGATGAAACTCAAACCGAACAGTTTATAAATGAGGTAGTAATTTTAACACAAGTCAACCATAGAAACATTGTGAAACTCTTGGGATGTTGTTTAGAAGAAGAAGTCCCTTTGTTAGTCTATGAGTGTGTCTCAAATGGAACCCTTTCTGACCACATCCAACATCGTGGAATGTCGACATGGATGTCTTTGGAGAATAGGTTAAGGATAGCAGCCGAATCTGCCGGTGCACTATCTTATTTGCATTCTGCAGCTTCGAAACCTATTATTCATAGGGACGTTAAGTCGGCGAACATATTATTAGATGAATATTACACAGCAAGAATCTCAGATTTTGGAATTTCGAGATTAGTCTCTTTGGATGAAGCTCAAGTGACAACATTAGTACAAGGAACATTTGGATACCTGGATCCTGAATACTTCCGCACAAGTCAACTGACTGACAAAAGCGATGTCTTCAGTTTTGGAATTGTGCTTGCCGAACTTATCACAGGGAAAAAGCCACTCTGCATGGAGAGAAGTGAAGAAGAACGAAACCTTGCCAATTATTTGATCATGGCCATGAAGGAGAAGCGATTGTTTCAAATTCTCGATCCTCGAGTAGTTCGTGAGGGGAGCCTAGAGCAGCTCCAACAAATTGCCGAGTTGGTGAAAAGATGTGTTAGCATGAATGGTGAAGATAGACCAACCATGAAAGAAGTTGCAATGGAACTTGAAGGGCTAAGGAATTTCACAGTTAGACATCCTTGGGCGAGTAATAGCCAACAACAACAAAATGAGGAGTCAACAGGGTTATTGGCTAATGAGACTGAATCATTAGATCTATACACAGTTCCAATCAATCCTAGTTCCGATTTCCCAGATTTATCCTCGCGATACAGCTTGCACTAAACTCGAATGTTGTTTTTCCAGCATCAAATGAATCTCACTGATTTTAAGTTCATCCAAAGTCATTCCACAAAAGTAATTAGTATGTAGCATGGTTGTTTTTCGTTACTTCTACTCTTAGATGTCCTTTTCAAAAAAAATACTCTAAGATACATGTAAGGTTACTCTTGTAATCAAACAATTACCATTACGTATTCCATTCAGAAAATGGTGATTTCTGGCATGCACGTCCCGTGTCTTGATACATGCATCCATCGACTTGAACAAAGTTTTCCGATTGTAAATGATACGTGGAAGATTGAGAAGCTAACTTATTTTTCCTAAGACTTGATCTTTTTTTTTTTTTTTTGGTTTTTGGAAAGTTATATTGTTGATCCAAAAAGCCCTATGACTTAGAATAGGGAAATTGTATTAGATTCATAATATGTTGTGCACAACATACAGACTATATATAGACAATAACAAACCCTAAACTAGAACATAATAGGAAATATACTAAATATTACAATACGCCCCCGCAAACTTACGGAGAGAAGAGAGAAGCCGAAGTTTGTCCCGAAATCGAAAGAATAACTCTTTGGACAAGGGTTTTGTCAGAATATCAGCAAGCTGATCAGCAGCAGAGATAGAATGGACCGAAACAAACTTACGCCGAACTTGATCTCGAACAAAGTGAAAATCAACCTTAACATGTCTTGTACGAGCATGGAACACAGGATTGACAGTAAGGAAAACTGCACTACTGTTGTCACACCAAATAGAGGGAGGGCGATTTAAAGAAATGCCTAACTCGGACAACAGATGACACACTCAATGCAGTTCAACACAGACATTAGCACGAAACTCAGCCTCAGTAGACGAGCGAGCCACACTGGGCTGCTTCCTAGATGCCCAGGCAATGAGATTAGGTCCCAAATAAATGAGAAAACCAGTAGTAGAACGACGATCATCCGGACAACCAGCCCAGTCAGCATCACTAAACGCAGTAAGAGTACCCAAAACTGTAGGATGCAGAACTAAACAGTAATCAACGGTACCACGAAGATAGCGAAGAACCCGTTTGAGAGCCTGAAAATGAGAAGTGCGAGGTTGATGCATGAACTGACAAAGCTTATTAACCGCAAAGGAGATATCTGGACGAGTGAGAGTGGTATACTGCAGACTGCCACACAGCCGACGATAAGTAGTCGCATCATCAGGAGACAACAGAGTACCATCCAAACGGGACAACACAACATTAGCCTGCAAAGGAGTGGAAACAGGTTTGCAAGTATGCATATTTGCAAGTCGTAGCAAATCAGTGACATACTTGCGCTGAGAGAGAAGCAAACCCTTGGAAGTACGACGAACCTCAACCCCAAGAAAGTAATTCAATGGACCTAAATCCCGAAGAGAAAACTCCTTAGCAAGACAAGAGATAAAATGCTGGACCAAACCAGAAGTGCTGCCTGTAAGAATAATGTCATCCACATAGACCAGCAAAAAACACAACAGAGACCCACGGCGATAGACAAAAGGAGATGGATCACAACAAGACTCCACAAAACCCAAGGTAAGTAGAAATGCTGCCAGCCGAGAATACCAGGCCCGAGGAGCTTGCTTAAGACCATATAAGGACTTATTCAGTTTACACACATAATGAGGGCGCACCGGATCAACAAACCCCTGTGGCTGAACCATATACACGGTCTCACTTAGAACTCCATTAAGAAAGGCATTACTGACATCAAGCTGAGAAATCGACCATCCACGAGCCAGGGCAACAGTAAAAATGGAACGAATGGTGACCGGCTTAACAACCGGACTAAATGTGTCAGTGTAATCAATCCCAAAAGACTGAGTAAAACCTCGAGCCACCAACCGAGCCTTATACCGCTCAATGGAGCCATCAGCATGAGTTTTAATCTTATAGAGCCATCGATTGCCGACAACATTGCCGGAGGGAGGAGGGGGAACTAAAATCCATGTGTTATTTTTGAGGAGGGTGGAAATTTCATCATTCATGGCATTCGCCACTGAGGAAGAGATTTGGCTTGGGTGAAGGATGTAGGAGCAGTAGACAAGGCTGGGGAAACAGAGGGTAAGATGAGCCGAGGGATCAAAGATTTTCTTAGGCTTGGGTTGTAGACGAAGTGTCATTGAGTGCTGACGGGAAGAAGGAGGAGGAGGTGGCGGCGGAGGACTGCAATCAGATGATGAAGAGCTGGATGCAGGAGATCTAGCTAAAGGTGATGAGTCAGGAGGGATAGGAGGAGACGAAAGAACTGGTGTACTAGAAGGAGACGAAGAAGACGCAGAAGACGACGCAAGCATACCAGGAGAACTGGTTACACGCAACCAAGGGGTAGTAGGAGACTCCAGCACCGAAGAAGGAGAACTAGAAATAGGAAGTTTAAAGGGAAAGAGTTTCTCATCAAACTCAACGTGACGAGCAACATAAAGACGGTTATTCACCACATCAAAACAGCGATAACCAAGATGAAATGGAGAATACCCAAGAAAGACACACTGAGTAGAACGAAAGGAGAATTTATATTTATTATAAGGGCGAAGAAGAGGATAGATAGCGCAACCAAAGACACGAAGAAAGGTATAATCAGGCGGCTGGTGATATAGTGTAGTGAAGGGTAGGTGACCTTGAAGAGGTTTACTAGGGTGGCGATTAATCAAAAACACAGCAGTTTCAAAAGCAAAATCCCAAAACCGAAAAGGGGTACTGGAATGGCCAAGGAGAGCAAGTCCAATGTCGACAATGTGACGAATTTTGCGTTCAGCAGTGCCATTCTGCTCATGAGTGTGTGGGCACGGTAAACAATGAACAATACTGACATCTTTAAAGAAAGAATTGAGAGAACGAAATTCACCACCCCAATCAGAGTGAACACTTTTAATGGTAGTGCCAAATTGGTTTTCTACGAGAGCTTTGAATTGCTGGAAAACCTGGAGAACATCACTTTTATACTTAATGGGATAAATCCATGTGAATAAAGAGAAGTCATCAATAAAAAGCACAAAGTAGCGATAACCATTGAATGACAAAATAGGAGCAGGACCCCAAACATCAGTGTGAATTAAATCAAGAGGTTTAGATCTACGATGAAAAGTAGAAGGTAAACTGACCCTATGTAACTTCCCTAAACAACACGCCTCACATTTATTAGTGGATGTGGACATAGAGGAATAAGGAAGTTGAAACTGCCTAACCAAAGTACGAAGAGTGACACTATTAGGGTGCCCTAAACGAGCATGCCACTGACCTAAAGAGACAAGATAAGCTGCCAGAGTCAAGGAACCACGAGCAGGAAGATCTAAGCGATAGAGACCATTATCAGCCCGACCGCGGAGGAGGAGTTCCTTGGTTGAAAGATCCTTAACACAACAAGAGTCAGAATAAAATTCAAAAAAACAGTGATTATCACGGGTAAACTTTTGAACAGATAACAGAGGCTTAGTAAGAGAAGGAGCATGCAAGACACGATTTAAATAAAGAGGACGAGCAAACGATGGCAAAACAGATTGACCAACATGCTGAATAGGTAAAGCATCTCCATTACCAACTAAAATATGATCCGTACCACTATAATCATTGGAGATACTAAGAGAGGACAAATCTGGCGTGACATGATCGGTAGCACCAGTGTCCGGATGCCAGGGAGTGACAGAAGGGGCATACTGCGCCATATGGGCTTGAGGAGACATAATCGACTCCGGGTAAGATGGAAGAGGCAACAAACCTGCTGAAGGCGGTGCAGGAGAACCTGCCTGGGCATAAGCAGCCGACCAAATGGAAGGGGGTCGAGGAAAAAAATTAGTATCAAAACGGCGTCGACAAGTGGCGGCCGTGTGATTCAAGATGCCGCAAAGCTGACACGTCTCACCCGGAGCGGGAGGGGTGTACCCACACCGACCACCACCATGACCAGAAACCTGATTGCGCCGGCCGTCGCGTTGCGAGCGACCGGCACAAGAGGATTGAGGCGGCGTAGGAGAAGGTGGCGACTGCACAAGCATGGCCGTGGGCTGAAGGACCGGCTGTTGGCCGTGAAGAAGCACCTCATACGAAACTAACTGTCCAAGGAGATCTTGATAGGAGGGGGGTTCGGATCGCTGTTGCAGAGCTCCGATGATGCCATTGAATTCGGCACCAAGCTTGCGGAAGATTATGGCATTAAACTCCGCAGGAGATATGCGATGGCCGACAAGCTGCAGTGTATCGGCGATGCCCTTCGCTTTGGAGAGGAGAGCCGTGACCGACAAGTCACCTTTTTGCAAGCTGTGGAGCTCCATAACAAGCTGGGTCTGTTGAGCATAAGAAAGAGTGCCGAAACCCTGCTAAAGAGCTGTCCATGCAGCCGCCGACGTTGTGCAGCCCTGAAGAACGGGAAAAATCTCTTCAGCAACGGAAGAAAGAATCCAAGAGAGGACCAACTGATCCTTTTGCTGCCAGATATCAAACTCAGGATTGAGTTGGGGCACGGCACCACTAACAGAAGGAAGAAAACGTGGGGGTGCAGGTTCGGTGCCGTCGAAAATACCAGCAACACAAAACATAGTCAATAAAGGAGTAAATGAAGACGCCAAGATGAATAGTTGGCCCGAGATTGCAGCTTCACAGTAAAGGAATGATTAAGAGACTGTAGACTAGGTTGAAGAAGTGATACGGGTGTCTGTGACGGAGGTGCCACCGGCCGGAGGTGGGTAGCCTGGTCGGTGGATGACAGGTCGGTGATAGTCATCGTCGAAAGAAAGCACGCAAAACTGAATAAGGCTCAATTTGTTGTTTTTTTTTCTTTTTGGTTTTTTTTTATTTTTAATGGCCGAGAATCAAAGTTCAGCAGGCGGCGGCGGCAAACGAGGACACCGACGAATCAGCACGCGACAAAGAAGAAGCACGCCAGTAAAGCACCACGTCCGGCAAAGAAGCAGCACGCCGACGAATTGAAAACGCACACTGACAAAGAAGAACGGCAGCAGGCCGGCGGCAGCAGCAGAAAAAAAATAAAAATCCGACGACGGGGAGAAGAAGAATGAGGAGAAGAAAGGGAGCACACGCCGGCAGCAGGTGGATGGTGGCGGCGGGCAGCAGAAATTAGAATAGGGAAATCAAGAAGCAGCAGCACACGGCGGGGAGCAACACCGGCAGCAGCAGGAACGACGAGGCCGACGATCGAGCAGCAGCAGACGAAATCGGCAGCGGCAGCAAGAAGAAACTGACGGCGAGAGCAGCAAAGAGACAACAAATTGGGATGGTAGCAACAAACAGCAGCAACAACGCCCAAAAGCGAAGACGGGCTGCAAACCAAACTAAAAAATAGAGGCCAAATAAGCAAACCGGCAGCAGCAAAGCAACCAAGCAAAGGTAACAGTGAAGATGGGCGGCTGAGCGAACAACAACAGCGGCAGTGGGAAAGAAAGCAGCAGCAGACGACAGCAGCAGGCGGCAGCAGCAGAGAAGAAGAAACCTGTGTGTGGCGGCTGTGTGTGGTGGCAGAGGGAGTGCGCACGGCCAAAGAAGAAAAACCGGCGGCGGGAAGAGAAAAGAAAAGAGAGAGAGAGAAAAAAAATTTTGGGTTGTTTTAAACCTAGCTCGATACCAACTTAGAATAGGGAAATTGTATTAGATTCATAATATGTTGTGCACAATATACAGACTATATATAGCCAATAACAAACCCTAAACTAGAACATAATAGGAAATATACTAAATATTACAATACTATGGATTAACAACAACCGAAAATGATTAAAACTATTTTGAACTAAGTATTCATTTGTTACATCGTACTACATATTAAGCGCACCTAGTTATGCCCAGTAGACATAAAATTATGTGCGACAACTAGTGGGAAGGATCCACGTTAAATTTGCTCCAACCTTCATGTGTAGAGGTTAAAGATAAAATCAAAGGAAAACACAATTTCTTGAAAATCATTTTTCATGTCTAGAACACGTACGAACACACTCCAAGGTTTTTCCTCCAACGCCTAGAATTGCTACCCTTGCCGTATTTTAATTATTAATGTTAGGCTTTTGCAATAATAATCAGAGTATAATAATCAGAGTAGTACATAAAACACGATTATTGCATAAGATCAAAGCTGCCATTTGGATTGATGTTCTCACCTACGAATAAATTAGAAACCCAAACTGCGTAAAATAATAGCTAAATTTTCTGGTTATTCTTCGACCTATGTTTGAGCAATGAATCATTCACATGATTCACGGCAATGAATTCCAACAATTTCAAATAATGTTACGATATTTTTTATTTTTGGAAGAAAAGGTCCTGAGGATGCGTGGACTTGGCCCTTTTGAAATGGAAGTGATCAATAATGCATCAACAATCATTATAGCCACTCAACTAGCATCTTAAGTCGTCTCATTTCTTTCCTCTATATATTATGGCTGCTCTTTTGTCAACTAATATGTTTGGTTTCAAAAAGAACAAAAAATTAATAAGTTTAACAAGTCATTTTTAATTAGGTGGATATCTAACTAGAATTATTGTTGATTTAAATAAGTCAACTTCGTCACACTCCAAACTAAAAAGTATTCTTGATTAATTAAACTAACAAAACTCTTATTTTGAAACAAATAAAATAATATATATTATTCCCTTCCATTATGAATTTTTTTTTCTATTCTCTTAAAAGAAGGGGAAAGAAAAGGTCAAAACTCCTCTTTGTTGAGTAGGAAGGAATATTATCATCTTGACTAAGTTTGGTTCGTGGATAACTAACTAGAACTAGATGCTTGTCCCGGGCAAATGCCCGGGGCGTCCCACCTAATAAATCGATATGTAAATAATCAAAATTGATTAGGAATGAATTTAGTTTTTGATGAAGATCGTCACACTCCAAACTAAAAAGTATTCTTGATTAATTAAACTAACAAAACTCTTATTTTGAAACAAATAAAATAATATATATTATTCCCTTCCATTATGAATTTTTTTTTCTATTCTCTTAAAAGAAGGGGAAAGAAAAGGTCAAAACTCCTCTTTGTTGAGTAGGAAGGAATATTATCATCTTGACTAAGTTTGGTTCGTGGATAACTAACTAGAACTAGATGCTTGTCCCGGGCAAAATGCCCGGGGCGTCCCACCTAATAAATCGATATGTAAATAATCAAAATTGATTAGGAATGAATTTAGTTTTTGATGAAGATAATTGATTGACCAAAAATTAATTTTTTCGGAAGTCCTAAATAAATGGAGAAGGAAAATTTCATACACTGTCAAATTCAAAATTTGAATGAACGTGACCATCTGATCTCTTCGTTAATATTGTAAATATATTTTTTATTTTTAAAATGAGGTGACACGTGGCAGAATGATTAATGCAATATGGTGCATTTGGAGCCAAAACATTTTAATAAGAAAATGGCACATCAGCATCATGTTTTCTGCTTTAATAGGGTAAAAGGGATTATTGTTGATTTAAATAAGTCAACTTCGTCACTCTCCAAACTAAAAAGTATTCTTGATTAAACTAACAAAACTCTTATTTTGAAACAAATAAAATAATATATATTATTCCCTTGCATTATGAATTTTTTTCTATTCTCTTAAAAGAAGGGGAAAGAAAAGGTCAAAACTTCGAAGAATTCCCTTGCATCATCTTCACATCTTGCCAAGTTGATAAGAACACGTACGTTTCTGGCAAGGTCAACCTGTACTACCTTCTCGATCCAATTATAGTTTTCATAGAACCCAAATACTAATATAATCTATCAAGACTTCATTAAGAAAAAAACTTTAGGCAGAAATTACTAAACCCATTGATATGTTTTTGTTCAGCAAGTCAAGCAACTCATCCATGGCACTTCGGAGACTTCAGGTTACCTGGTGCTGGTTTTGTGTCCTCTTTTTACGGCTAACAGTCACAGCAGCCCAAACGAACACCACCGTCACCGTCACCGCCCCCACCACCGCCTCATTCAATGTCATTAAAGGGCCAAACATAACCAAACCAGGATGTCAACGGCAATGTGGGAACGTCACAATTCCGTACCCTTTCGGGATTGGCCTGAATTCGGGTTGTGCTATCGGGGAATTCTTCGAAGTGAACTGCAACACTTCTTTCAGTCCACCGAAACCTTTCATACGTCAATACGAGGTAACCGAAATCGACGACAACCACATTCGTTTCGTCAGCACCGTCGCAAGTAGCTGTTACGATCAACGAGGCCAAATCCTCGAAAACGACGCCTTTATGGGCGTAAATCGGACAGGTCCGTTCAGCTTTTCGGACCTCAACACTTTCACCGTCATCGGCTGCGATGATGCGTCTCTCGTTACCGGTTACATTAAGAACTTCAGCAGTGGATGCGTGTCGGTCTGTTCCAGGGCGGAGGACGTTATTGCTGGATATTGTTCGGGAGCTGGTTGTTGCCAAACGTCCTATATTCCCCGAGGATTTAAGGGTTTTTTTATTACCCTTAATAGCCTACAGAATCATTCTGATGTATTCGGGTTTAATCCTTGCAGCTATGCTTTTCTTGGTGAGCGGGACAAGTTCACATTCCGGGGTGCAGCTGATTTTTCTGATCCTACTTTTATCTATAGGACATTAGCTACTGTTCCGGTTGTGCTGGATTGGGCGATCTGGAAATCGAATTGCTCGGAAGCCCAGAAAGCGAATGATTACGCTTGCCATCCCAGCAGTTTTTGTGTCGATTCCGACACTGGATTTGGCGGCTATCGTTGTATCTGCGCACCAGGTTTTGAGGGAAATCCCTATCTCAGTCCAGGATGCCAAGGTAAGTACTAGTATATAACCTTGAAGGATTTCCAGTTATAATATTCATTAGAATTATAACAACAACGATTTCCGAATGCATATCTTCATTAGATTAACAAAAGTTTAAGTTTACCACATGATGACAAGTTAGAGATCTAACTTGCTTTTTCTTTGTAAATTTGATTTCCTGGTGGGTTAGATGTCAACGAATGTGAAGATCCTAATACTAATACATGTGAAAAGATCTGTACTAACACTCCGGGAAGTTACAACTGTTCTTGCCCGGTAGGATATTTTGGGGATGGCAGAAAAGACGGACAAGGTTGCATAGCTAAGAATAAAGAGTTTCCAGTCATGAAACTTTCCCTTGGTTAGGCTTTCTCATCTTTTACTTCCCTTTTTTCTTTTCTTGAAATATTTCTCTGTATGTTTAGAGTGAGCTGCACTTCAATAAATAACATAAAGCTAATCAATGGTAAAACAACGAATTTTCATCACTCCGTACATCATACTCGAGAGGTCTCATGAAAGTTTTTTTTTTTTTTTTTGGCAGGATTGGGTTTCGGACTTTTATCATTGTTGATGGCAATAACATGGCTCTATTTTGGCATTAAGAAAAGAAAACTAAAGAATCTCAGGAAAAAATTCTTCCATCAAAATGGTGGTGTATTGTTAAAGCAACAAGTATCTTCCAACCATGGTGGAATCGAACCATCCAAAATTTTCACAGCCGAAGAATTAAAGAAGGCCACCAACAACTATGCAAAAGACAGGATTCTCGGTAAAGGAGGCTATGGAACAGTTTACAAAGGAATTTTACCAAATAAACAAATTGTTGCCATAAAGAAATCCAAAATAATGGATGAAAGTCAAATTGAACAGTTCATTAATGAGGTGATAATTTTGACTCAGGTCAATCATAGAAATGTTGTGAAGCTCTTGGGCTGTTGTTTAGAAGAAGAAGTTCCGTTGTTAGTTTATGAATATGTCTCAAAAGGAACCCTTTTCCACCACATCGAGCATAGTGGTATGTCGACATGGATGTCCTGGGAAAATCGGTTAAGGATTGCAGCTGAAACTGCAGGTGCACTTTCTTATCTCCATTCGGCAGCTTTGAAACCGATAATTCATAGGGATGTTAAGTCGGCTAACATATTATTGGATGACTATTACACGGCAAGAATCTCGGATTTTGGAGCATCCAGATTAGTTCCATTGGATAAAACTCAAGTGACAACATTAGTGCAAGGAACATTAGGATACTTGGATCCTGAGTACTTTTGCACAAGTCAACTCACTGAGAAAAGCGATGTCTATAGCTTTGGAGTGGTGCTTGCCGAACTCATCACAGGGAAAAAACCACTTTGCATGGAGAGAAGCAAAGAAGAAAGAAATCTTGTTACATATTTGATCATGTGCATGAAGGAGAATCGATTGTTTCAAATTCTCGATCCTCGAGTGCTTCGTGAGGGAAGCCTAGAGCAGCTCCAACAAGTTGCTGAGCTGGTGAAAAGATGTGTTAGTTTGAACGGTGCAGACAGGCCAATCATGAAAGAAGTTGCCATGGAACTTGAAGGGTTAAGGAAGTTCACAGCTAGACATCCTTGGACTATTAATAATCAACAACATCGTGATGAAGAATCAATTGGATTAATGGCTAATGCATCCGAATCATTAGATCTTTACACAGTTCCATTAAGTCCTTATTCTGATTTAGTTCCTTTATCTGGACAATATAGCTTGGAATCAACAGATGCCTGATGTTCTCAGCATCAAATAGACCTTGTTGATTGAACAATCATCTTCAGCTAAGTACCATGGATGTTGGTAAGCAAAACTACTTGGTCAGTTCAATTGTTAGATGCATGTAAAATTAATTTCTTAGACAACCCATGAATTCGTACTATTACTATTTGTAAGATTACAGTTTCATGATATGGTATCATTAATCATGTCGGTCTGCAAAACTGATGCATTCTTAAAACAGTTTCATAAAACTCATGACAATCAAAAACCATCTAAATGAGTCTAAATAGAAGTGAAGGATGTATGAAATCGTATATATTAACATGTATACAATTTGATTTACCTCAGCGGTCTTTGAAGAGCATATAAGCATCAAAGTACAATCCCGCAGTCAGAGAAAAGATCGCAAAACAGATATGATCCTGTGTGTGTTTAAAACTGAAACTTGAAATTGTGAGTAATTACTTTTAGGTTTAGCACGTATTGATTTTGAGCAGTGAAGTAGCAGGAAATTAGGAACTTCATTGAAGATTTAAATTACTCTTTTCGGTTGTAGGGGTGCAGTATAACAATAATCTTAATTTATTTTAACTCAGGGGTTTAGGGATAATTTTTTTTTTTTTTACAAATCTATTTTATTTATCTGCCATTCTAGCTTTCCATGTTACGTATCAAAAATGATTTTGCACTGAAAATGACTTTTAGCGGGAAAATATTAAACCTGAAACTGACACATGCACTTCTTGTATGCTACTTTAATTAAGTAAAATAATAATAACGATACTATGGATGGGCTGGGCTGGAGAGAATATGGAAGAATTAGCTGCGTTTTCATTAGTTACACATACAAAGTGAAAGTTTGTATAATCATTTTCAAATAACCGAAAAGTCTACACCACATCTCAGTTTTTTTTTTTAAACCACCTTACAAGTGCATAAACTATTACATGGGTGGAGTCTATGGGGAAGGGGATACTACTACTATTAGGGGGAGACTCCACGCGTGCATGCATAGTCCACTCGATCCTTTGAAAGGCGCCTCCTTCAGCTGCTGCTGTTTCCTACCCTGCAAGAAAGCTGGCAAGCGATAAATCACTGGCGTAGGAGTTCGAACCCACGACCTCACTGTTGGATGCCAGGGTTTCTTGCATATTCTATATTTACTCGCAAACAAATACAGTAAACCACCTCCACCTGCTTAATTTTCAATATTATATTTGACCTCGCAAACCACACAACTTTTCAAGTCGTCGTTTTTCTTTAAATCACCTTACAAGTGCCTAAACTATTACATGGGTGGGTCTATGAGAAGGAGATACTACTACTATTAGGAAGAGACTCCACGCGTGTATGTCTAGTCCACTCGATCCCTTGAAAGGCTCCTCCTTCAGTAGCTACTGTTTCCTACCCTATAAGAAAGCTGGCAAGCGATGAATCGCTATCGTGAGAGTTCGAACCCGCAAACTCGCGGTTGGATGCCAAGGTTTCTTGCCTATTCGATATTTACTTGCAAAACAAATACAGTAAACCACCTCCACCTGCTTAATTTTCAATATTATATTTGACGTCGCAAACCACACAACTTGAAAAGTCATCGTTTTTCTTTCGTTTTTTTTCCACTTTCTTCCTTACCTTTTTAGTTTGTCTTTTTCTAAAATATAATAAGTCAAACACACCCGGAAGATTTTTGTGGTGGATCACTAACATGAAATTGTATCATTTAGGATACAACGCATAGATTATAACTTTCATTTATTTTTTTTTTCTTTTATTTTTTATTCTTCATTTCTGTGTGTTGATTAGGCAAACTGATATTTATTGACGTGGAAGTCTTCTACATTCCTTCTCTTTTTTCTTTTTTTTTTACACTATGAACTTTTGGAAGGAATATATTATTGACAACTTTGCCTACTTTTTCTTTTTCTTTTTTTTTTTTGTAAAAGAAACTTTGCCTACTTGAGAATATTTGTTAGCACGTCGACCGTAAATTTATCAGTAAAATTGAAATTTTCATACAATAATCGATCTAGTGCTCCATACACAAACTGCCTGATTCCTTCTTTAGTAAGAGAACACGTTCCAACCACAAATTAGTAAATCACACAGAGATATTGTTCATCAGATCAAGCAATTCATCCATGGGAATTTGGAGATTTCAGCTGGTTGCCTTGTGTAGTTGTGTTGGTTTCGTGTCTTCTTCTTTTGGCTAACAATGTCAGTAGTCAAAATGAACAACACCACCCCCACAACCGATTGGTCAAACAACCTCATAAATGGCCGAAACATAACCAAACCAGGATGTCAACGCCAATGTGGAAACGTCACAGTTCCGTATCCCTTCGGTATCGGCCTGAATTTGGGTTGTGCCATCGGGGAATGGTTTGAAGTGAACTGCAACACTTCGTTTAGGCCCCCGAAGACTTTCATACGTCATTACGAGCTAATGGAAATAGGTGACAACCACCTTCCTGTAGTCAACAACATCTCTGGCATTTATTACAGTAAAGTCGGGAAATTAGTCCTTGAAAACGAAGCCGGGATGTTTGCAAAGTGGATCAGTACGTCCGTACAGCTTTTCAAACCTAAACACTTTAACGGTAATCGGGTGCGACAATTCAGCTCGATATTTTTGTTTTCCTGAATAATTTCAGCAGTGGATGCACGACTACCTATTCTGCCGCAAGAAAAAAGAGTTTCCAGTCATCTAGCTTTCTCTTGGTAAGGTTCTATCCTTTTCTTTCCCTCTTTTTATTTTCTTGAAAGATTTCTCTTGGTAAGTTGAGATATTTATTTACACTTTTGCAAACAACATAAGTCTATCATGGTATCCGAACAACGAGTTTTAAATCTTGACGGCTAATACGGGTCTCATAAATTATCGTGTAGGTTTGGGTTTTGGATTCTTATCCTTGTTAATGGCAATACCTTGACAATATTTTGGTATTAAGAAAAGAAAACTTGTCAAACTTAGGGAGAAACTCTTCTATCAAATTGGTGGTGTATTGTTAAGGCAACAAGTATCCTCCAGTGAAGGTGGAATGGAATCAACCAAGATTTTTACAGCTGAGGCATTGGAGAAAGCCACCAACAACTATGCAGATGATAGAATTCTTGGTAGAGGAGGTTATGCAACAGTTTACAAAGGAATTTTACCTGATAAACACATTGTGGCAATAAGGAAATCTAAAACTATAGATGAAAGTCAGATCCAACAATTTATCAATGAGGTAGTAATTTTGACACAAATCAACCATAGAAATATCGTAAAGCTATTGGGCTGTTGTTTGGAAGAAGAAGTTCCTTTGTTAGTCTACGAATATGCCTCAAATGGTTCCCTTTTCCACCATATTCAACACACTGGAACGACATGGATGTCTTGGGATAATCGGTTAAGAATTGCTGCTGAAGCTGCTGGTGCACTTTCTTATCTGCATCCTGTGGCTTCAAAACCGATTATTCATAGAGATGTTAAGTCAGCCAATAATTGTTGGATGAATATTACAATGCAAGAATCTCTGATTTTGGAGCTTCCAGATTGATCTCATTAAATCATACTCAAGTGACAACATTAGTACAATGAACATTGGGATACCTCGACCCTGAATACTTCCGCACAAGTCAACTGACTAAAAAAAGTGATGTGTATAGCTTTGGGGTTGTTCTTGCTGAACTGATGATAGGAAAAAAGCCACTCTGCTTGGAGAGAAGCGAAAACGAACGAGACTTGGCCACATGTTTGATCATGTCCATGAAGGAGAACCGGTTGTTTCAAATACTCGATCCTCGGGTAGTCCGTGAGGGGACCCTAGAGCTGCTCCAACAAACTGCTGAACTAGTGAAAAAATGTCTTAGTTTGCATGGTGTGGACAGGCCAACCATGAACGAAGTTGCATGAAACTTGAAGGACTAAGGAAGTTCACGGTTAGAAACTCTTGGGCGAGTTATAGTCAACAACAACATCGTGATGAGGAATCATATGGATCAATGGCTACTAAGACTGAACCATTGGATCTTTACACAGTTTCTAATACGTCCTAATTCAGATTAGCAACATTTTATGGACAATACTGATTGGACTCATCCCAAATGATGTCCACAACATCAAAATCGTTGTTGATTTAAATTCCTTCGAACCTACTCCAAACAACCATTGGGTACCATGAACGGTTGTTATTAGTTTGATTAACTACTTCATGACTTCAACACTTGATTCGCATAAAATTACTGTTGTAATCAAACCATGAATACCATTATTTGTCTGACTATCCATTTCATGATACTTTATTTTTACTTTACATACTGGATTTAGTTGGAAAAAAAAAATTGGTGGTATTTGATACGGTGTCTGCCCTCAGATGCACATTTGCATTCATCAACTTGAAATGCACATTTGCATTCTTCAATTTGAACATAGATTTTATTTTTCCCAGTTGCAAAGGAGAGGCGGGACGTTGTGAAGTTAAATTTGCTAACATTATCACAACAAAAATATTTTTAGCATATATCTGTGAGAAAGGTCATGTCTGAAAGCGTGTACAGATTAACTGATTTCATCTACTTGAGGAAATTCAGCTGTGTGGGTTTCATCTGGAATCTTCTGGTGCTGCAAGATAAAATTTGTGCTTCTTTGGTTGTAAAAGTAACGAGGCAAGAAAACATGAAAGATTTTCACTATATAATATTCTGATTTTGTCTTTTCCCCATGACAGTTGAAGTTTAAACCCAGCTGGCTAATTTCTTGAGATTCATGGAGAAGATGAGAATCCTTATAAACTTAACAAAAAATCACCATAAATCTCTTCGAAATCTGTATACAGCTTTGAGCTTTTGTCAAAATCACCATATCCCCTTCTTCCCGATATAAGAGAGTCCTGTTTATAAATTTTCATTACTCTTATTTTAACGCAGGAAGTAAGTTACTCTTGTGATAATTTATATTTTGTCTCGATCTGTTGTTAAGGTAACATGATTACTGAGTAGAAAACTCAAGTGTCCAAACTGCTTGTAAATTAATTCAAAGTCATTTTCCCACACTTTCTGAGCAACGATGTTGATGATTTCCACACATGATTAAAGAAACCGGATACGAAAACTTCTAATAATCTTCAAATTGCATTCATATATAATTGTATATGAGTATAGTGCAAGTGGATCAATGTAAAAGGTATCAACGAATATTGACTCGTAATATTATACTACTAGGTTGGT